CGTACTTTGGTGCAGGCCTCGGCTGAGCAGTAGGAGCATTCCTCTCGTCAGAATCGTCATCGCTAGATTCGCTTTCTTCAGGCTTCGAAAGTTGCTATAAAAAAGATAGATGTCCTACGAGATTATTATACCAGGGGCATGTGATAGAGCTTTCAAAGAGCGATTCATGGGAACAATATCAACCTGTAACAATGTTATCTTAAGGAAAACAGCTGTTCAGTGAGTTCCACGTTTGCGGCACGCAAGTATCCCATTTTGTAGAAATATTATCATATAAGAATTTCTAAAACAAATAGTCTGCAACTGCACGCATCATCTGTGGTGCATCGAGTCAAGACAATAAATCCCAAAAGTCAACTAACCTTCACAACCACATTTTGGGAAATTGAAGGCTCGTAATAAAAAAAAGGACCGATATCGAACGTCTTGTTCATTACTGAGGGTGCTTAATGGATCTCATATTCTAAGCTACGAATTTCTTTTGGCAGTGGCACTGCTGCAAACATCGCGCCAATAATTTGTGCTCAGCCTGGGAAGGGATGAAATTGATCTTGAAGAGAAGTTAAGCACATTAAGACACTAATAAACATTGCGGCGTATTGAAGGCTATAGAAAATAGATAAGATGATAGGAGAGAAAAAAACAACATTAAAACATACGAGTTGTCTACTATTCTCCAGCTTCTCAATGTTCTCCTTCTTATTATCGTTGTTACTGTTGCCCTTCGGATTGTCTTCTTTTACAGGGAAGCTTGCCTACAGATAAAACAACACTGCTGGAGCGTCCTTATAAACATCTATTGTGACACACCTTTTTCGGTTGCACACCCTTAGCAGACGCTCCCAGAAGGTCAATCACTTCTGTAACGTGTCGGCATACTCCACCTACGGTTCGAGCTACCTGTTGCTTCCTACTATTAGGAAGCATCTTTTTCTCCTCTGAACATGGATCAAGTTGGTGAAAGTCAAGAAGTACCAATCAACGTACTTGCTGTGAGTTGCTGATTCACTATGCGATGTTTTCTTTGGCGTAATTTTTCCTGTACATCGGCACTGAAGCCCCAAGATGAGATGGGTACAAGATCACTTATTTTTCTGATCTAAAAGTCTAAACTGTGCTTTCTGAACTATTTCAAGCAGTAATTAAACGACCTTGGACTCGATTGAGGCAATCCTTGTTAGAAATTCAACGTCAGCTGATGGGTCATCCGCTGTCATCTCTAAAATGACTCGAACTTAGCTGACTACTAATGCCCAAAATGCAAAAACGTTGGAAATGTCGCGGTTACGATGCCACTTTTACAATGACGTTAACAAAAAAAATAATAGACGTTTATGGCAAACAAATCATGACATTGAGGAAAATACACCTCACTCTAACTAGAACTATGGTAATTATTCATATGGCACAAAAAGAGATGAACAAAAAAGTGAGCAAAAGGAAAAAACTAATCTTAAAGAACTCTTCTGTCTTCCAAATTCCTATTGTGACTAACTTGGAAATCATATCATGAAACAAGTGCACGCTTTTAGGCGAATTTGCTCGATGATGGAGCAGATAGGCAAAGAGCATATCTTTACGGCAGCAACTTATAGGTAGACTCGATATTTAAAATATGATTCCCGAGCTTTTGTGCAAAGAGATACACCAGTAGAAACAAACCGGCTCTTGAGACTTAATAATTTAGAACATAAACTACCCTTTACTACTAATAAAGCCATACAACGCACAACTACCGAAACAATGAACATTAAAAGGGATCCATACAACATGAGATCATCTAAAGATATCCCCAATCTACTTAGTTGAGGAAACTTTTTAAAAAATCACTTTGAAAGCACAGGTTATGTCATTTGAAAAACAAAACGTCGTGATAGAAGTCATGAATTCGTCAGCACATGTGCTTCGATATCTATTGCATATAAAGTACAATCTAAAACCTTTAAACTATGTTTAACACCTAAGTATCGACGACTAGGGACTAGGCCGGAATCAACTCAGTGCCGAGTCGCGTACGTACAGCCTCTGTGCGGCTCTCTAGAATAATCCAGACGTCTTCAGCAAGTGCATCTACAGTTGTATAGCGAACTCGCTTCGGGTTGAAAATGTCCACGACAAATTGGGTTATTTGTTCCTACAAAACGTCTTCTTTCAACCAAGTAAATCAAAAGCCACAAAATTTATGCATATAAGCTAAACAATTCGCCCTGCCGAACTGAAAGTCTCGGGATTTGCACAAAAGTGAAAA